ACGCCACTTTGTTTTTGTTTTTACTATGCCAACGTAATTCTCACCCCCTGCACTACTGGGCCCAATTCAATATTTGAAATTGGGCCCCTTGTTGAACAAACCCCCATTTTTACTGCCATGTACAATTATTCACCCCCTCATGTGTTTAGGCCCGAATTCAACATCTGAATTCATGGCCCTACTTTCCATACCCCCTGATTTTCTTAACCCAAATGAAATACACCCCCCTGCATTTTTTATTAAATTTCTTTTATTACTTTAATTATTTATAATTATTATTTTTTATAATTTAATATATCTATAAATTCTAAAATCATTTACTATTATTATTAAAAATCAAATATTTATTTTCTAATCAATCCGAATATTTTTATTGCATTAAAATTGTTTTTGCAATGCATTAAAAATATTTTTTATATATTAATACATTTAAAAAATACCTAACCAACACCAAATATTTTTTAATAAATTAATGAATTTAAAAAAAATTTCAAAAAAGGATTATGAGGATGCTTTTAAATCAACTACAAATTTCTTCGAACAATTTCGTTATTCACACACCTAGACTTAGTACAAGAAAAATTCAAAACATCTCAGTGATCCATAAAAAAAAACAACCCACTGCGAACTACAAATTGAGACTCTAATTCCTCATAAGAGGATAAATAGGAATACGACTAAAATCGCGGCGAGTTTCCCTAATAAAATTAAAACCCTATTTCCTAAGCCGTAATTCAAAACCCTAGTATCCTTGTAAACAAGGTAGTGAGGGGTGCCTAACACCTTCCCTTTGTCTAAAAACGAGTCAACAATTCAGAATCTCTAACCACATTAGGGTTATCCTTTTTATTCCCTTATCAAAGATAAAAATTTAGGATGGAGACTCTCAATTTAAAACCAGTTACAACAGCTGGCGACTTCACTGGGGACTCAACCCTAGGGTTTAAGAGCCTCTCTCTTAGGTTTAATATTTTTGTTTGTTTTTTTACTGTTTTCAAGTTTTGCTTTTATTTATTCATTGGCTTACATTAATTATTTTGACTTATTTTTATCATATTATATTTGATGGGATTTTTATTTTTACAAAATTTTTTTTTTTCGAAAACCCTTAGAAAGAAGGTTTGTTTATTAGCCAAGGAGATACATCATCCATATGAGTTTATGCAACGATTTTGCCTAGAGTCGGTGGAATTCCGAAAAAGAAATACGTCTCAAGAGACATCCTCTTGGTGGTAGGAATTTGGAATGAAACATATGACTCTTTGTATAACCCTTAAACCAAAATCTCATGGTGAGACCTTTCATGATCTAGAGACGAAAGTTTCGGTCTGCAAAGAGGCTCCACTTAAGGGAGACCCTTATGCATTTCCCTCTAGTGTTATCCATGATGCCCTTAAGGAAACCACCTTATGGGGAGGATAGAATATACGTAGGCCAAAACTAGGAGCCTACCTTATAAGGGTACCTTTCATGAAATCCCATCATTAAGCCACATAATCACGCATTCACACATCTTGCATTCCATATATTCATTACCCTCTATTATTTTTGTTTGTCTTATTCACAGGATTAAAAAAATAATAATCAAAGGTTTTTGGTGAATTGTCCTAAAATGAATGCTAGAGGGAAACAACTTGTCAGTATCAATGCCATCAAGCTAGATATGACAAAAATCAAGGCTATAAAAGGGAAATTGTCTGAAAGAGCTCTGAAGATGTTCACTCTCTATTATGGGGATACCCTAGAATTAAAAAAAGTGAAGGTACAATTGGATGTTGTTTCTTCCTTAATTCAGTTCTACGACCCTCCATTGAGGTGTTTTACCTTCCAAGACTTTCATCTAGCACCGACTCTGGAAGAATTTGATAGAATTTTGAATTTCTCTAAAGGGAAAGCTTATGTGGGAATCGGGAAGACTATTTACATTAGAATCATGGAAGAGGGTTTTGGGATCTCTTATTCTTAATTGTCACTTAATTATAAAAAACAAGGCGATGTACGGGGGATCAAGAGATGCTACTTGGAGACTAAAGCTCTTGATTTTTCTGATAGTAAAGAATGAGAGTCTTGTGTTGATTGTTTAGGGTTGCTTGTGTTTGGTGTAATCTTATTTCCATGGACTTTAGACTATATTGACCCTGCGGCTATTAATGTATTTTGGGGCGTAAAAGTTTTCAATATGCACCCAACTCTCGCTTTACTTGCTGATGTTTATTATGCACTTCACACTCGGTACGAAAAGGGGAGGGGTACTCTAAATTGTTGCATCTCACTCTTATATTCTTGGTTTATGACTCATCTTTATAAGAAAGATTACATGATTCCAAATCTAACGAGATATGAGTGGGCTCAAAAATTAAGATCTCTTACTGCTAATTTTGTGTTGTGGTATACGAGGAAGCTAGACATCAGAGATATCATTTATAGTTGCGTAGAATTTCTGAATGTTCCGTTGATTGGATCACATGGTTGCATCAACTACAACCCTACCTTGGTTCTACGACAACTAGTGTATCCTTTAGTGGATAAACCCTCAGATGAACAACTTCGACCATTAATCATTCATGACATGGGCAAGAATGGCCAAGAATTGCTCAACTAGATCATTCGAGCTTGGAGTAGGGTTAATAAAAGAAAGGCCTAAAGAAAGAATGTTGTGGCGAAAGAGCCTTACACTTGATGGGTTTTAGATAGGGTATGAGTTGTTAAGTTACCGTTTGACATTGATCTTGAGTACAAGCCAAATGTCCCAGATTCTCTGCCTATGTCCTTAGAAGAAATAGATAATTTGAACAATACTTTGAAACAAGCTCAAAAAGATAAATAAGAATTGAAGCTTAACCTCCATAACTTTACTAAGGGGAAAAGACAAATGCAACGCATACTTGAATCAAAAGACCAACAAATTCATAAAGATCGTGAGGAATTTAAGAAGGAGAGTCTTAAGCGGAAGCGTTCAACTGAAGGATTTTTAAGTGCCACTTTCAACTTGGTTTCCCACTAACGACGGTTGGAGGATGCTGCTAGTGAAATCGGGAGATTAAATAGGTGGTATGAAAAGGCAATGCATGACAAGAAGGTGATGGAAGAAGATTTGAGGGCTCAAATCTAATGTTTGGCCAAACATCTTTAGATCAATAAGAACAAATGAAGTATCTTACCACAAGACTCTGAGATATCCAAGAAGCGGGGGTAGGGGAACGCCTTAAAAGGATGATGGTGGAAAGATTTCTCACCCAAAAGACTGAAGAATACGAGCAAGTGTGTCTCGAGTTAGAAGGCCTCCGAAAGGATTTCCTAATGCAACAGAAACTCTATACAAAGATGAGGACTAAAAAGTTATACTAGGAAGAGCAGTATGTAAAGATTGCCAAAGCAGGAAAAGATAATTATAATATAATTCCTAACCTCTACCAAGAGTATTAGTTCTACAAAGACAACTATGCAAGACTCGCCTTCTTAACCAACAATCTTATCGGCGACATCCCTAGGAGTTTGAGAGATGCGGAGAATGTGATGGTCTCTCTTCCAAAATACCTCGAAGACTTCCTCAAGCTTTGTATAATAATGGTTGATGGCTTCAGAGCAGAAATTTGAAGGCGTACTTAGAAGACTTTTGTTTTCCTTTGATTATTTCTTTCAGCAAGTTGAATGTTTTAAATTTGAATATTCTTCAATATCTGAATTGTATTCTTTTTAAAGACAATTACTATTTTAATAAAGACGTGTTGTTTCCGTATCTCGTTTGCGTGTTTATTTTTTTAAGATACTCACCAATAAAAAAGCAAAACCCAAATATATATATATATATATATATATATATATATATATATATATATATATATATATATATATATATATATATATATATATATATATATATATATATATATATATATATAAAAAAGTGAATAAGACATTCAAAAATGAAACTCTTAGCATATTCATACACATTCATGCATTCACAAACATTTGCATCTCATAAACTCATACAAAAAAAAAACTCATCATTTTTCAGAAAAAATATTCTCCGGTTAATCCATTGGTAGAAGAGCTAGAAAAGCGCTACCTCTCCGACCACCCTATCAAACAATAGTCCATCAATAAAAAATGATGGAACAAATTGAAGAGAATCAAGCTGCATTCAAGGAGGATCCTGAGCAAATCAAGGATAATGTTGACTCGATGAAGAGAGATATGAGTCAAGTTCTTCTATGTAACACCTCAACTTTTACAAGTTATTTATTTAATGAATTATTAGGAGTATTTACGAATAATTGATGTTTTATATGATTATATGTGCGGTGTGTTCGCATGTGGTTATTTGTGATGTGGAACATGTGATGTGAATGAATAGATTAAATGCATTGGAATAATTAAAAAAACGGCATGGACATATGAAGAAGACAAGTTACTCAAAGCTTGTATTGACAAGTATGGTGAAGGAAAATGGCATTTAGTTTCACAAAGAGCAGGTAATACTATATATACTTAGCATATCTTGTATTTTGGGTTGTGTATTTTTAATTTAATATATTTTCCTTTTCAAGAACAAAAACTATATAGTATTATATAGTATAATTTTTTAATGTTATTTTGTTAAAATATTTATTACATGCATTTGGCCGGATTGAATAGGTGCAGGAAAGTTGTAGATTCGGATGGTTAAATTATTTAAACCCCACCATTAATGAAGAAAGTTTTTCTGAGGATGAAGTTGACATGATTCTAAGGTTACACAAACTCTTAGGAAACATGTAAATATGTTGCCAGTGGCAAATTGTAATTTAATTATGTATTTTCTAATAAAATTTAGTCAAATACTATGTGCAAAAATATGATGGTTATGCTACACTATCTTACTGTAAATAGTTTATTCTAAATATAAATTATTTTTTGAAAAATGTAGTCTTTTAGTTTTTAATGTTACATGTATTACTGTTTTTTTTTTTTTTTGAAGTTGTATTTTCTAAAATTAGCACTAGAAACCTAAGGAAAGCATGAAAGTCCATGAAATTATTAAACCTGAACCTCGACGAACTTTTTCATCTCATTCCCCATGGTTGAATGGGAAACATAGTATTGTAAAACCAATAGTTACATTTTCAAGTAAAGATAGTATTGTTGCTAAAGATGAAAGTAGTGTCCTACCAGTTAATGGTGATGGAGACTATGATGTACCCCCATCCCCATCTCTTGAAAACTCTAGAGCCATGTGGTGGGAAAGTTTGTTGAACGAGTGCAATGACAAAATTGGCCCATGCTGTTTATTACAAGAGGAGAGAGATTCCATTTTAGAGTTATCAAATGTTGACAACTTTTTTATTGGAGGTCCAGATAATGTAGCTGATTGTTATTAGGATTAGAATTTTATTGTGCAAGAACAATACAATAAAATCTATGTTCAAAATAATATGTTCTATTGTATTTGTATTTTTTTTTTATCTAAAGTGATTATATTAAATGTAGAAATTGTTCAGATTGGGCATTATTACATTGTCGATTCAGATTTTTTATCATAAATTATCTTTTTGACGAACATATGAATCGTTCAAGAATTTGACATGACATGCCATCTCATCTGTTTATTATTATTAATTTAAAGGTTAAGATATATTTACTTAAATACTAACACATGAATTTTTTAAGGAATTTATCTTAGTCTATTTATTAATAATCACTACAAAATAAATCTTATAGCGACATGATTATCATGTGCCTAAAAGAAGGTAGTTGCGCCGTGATAATCCCGTCACTGATATTTTTTATATTAAAATATTAAACATAACGTTAACATAGGGAGAGTTAGTTTTTTTTTTAATATTGCGACGTGGGAAACACGTCGAACACTAAAGTAAATATAAAAATAAAAAAAAACTCTAATGTTCAAATGGAGGGAGTTTTGAAATTTCAAAAACTCCAGTTGTGACTTAGTAATCACGTCGCAATATTTTAGTGAAAAAAAAGTCTGACTTTAAATTGACTTGTTACAGGTGACTGCAGGCCGTGCAAATAAATTTTTGACCATTGTGAATTTTGCGATGTGAATATCACGTAGCAAGATTGCAACGTGATATTTACGTCACACGTGACTTATATAAATCTCAATCGTTTCCCAGACCCGCACTCCATTCTTGTTTCATAATCTTTTTTCTAAGACTCATTCATTCCTTTGCTTTGTTTCTTCCACTCCCATATCTAATGTTTCTCTTCTTTCCTTCAATCCTTCAATCCTTCAATTCTTTCTTTCATAACTTTGCACACTTGATTTATAAAGGTAATTGTTTTGTATAATTTCTCTTTAATATATTTATATAGTTTTGTTCAATATTTATTTTATTTTCTAATTAACATTTTTGTATAATTTTAAGTCAAAATTGAAGAACATTGAAGAACTTAAAAAAAGATTGAAGAAGAAGATCAATTAAAGGAGATTGAAGAAGAGGTATTTATGACTTTTTTTAAATTTTATGTACAAAATTGAGTTGTTTATATATATATATATATATATATATATATATATATATATATATATATATATATATATATATATATATATATATATATATATATATATATATATATATATATATATATATATATATATATATATATATATATATATATATATATATATATATATATATATATATATATATATATATATATATATATATATATATATATATATATATATATATATATATATATATGTTATAAAAAAATGAATATTAACTTTAACTATATAAGTATACTGTTTTTAAAAATATAAAATATAATGAAAAAATAAAAATAATATTATACTATATTTTTTTAAATAAACAGAATATATATTATAATTATATATTTAAATCATGATTTTTTAATTATTGTATATATATATTAAAATCATAATATATATATATATATATATATATATATATATATATATATATATATATATATATATATATATATATATATATATATATATATATATATATATATATATATATTAAAAACATAATATATATATATATATATATATATATATATATATATATATATATATATATATATATATATATATATATATATATATATATATTATTGATCGTACCTGATCAGACGAGATCTTCAAGGCCTACAAGCTTCAAGTCGGACAGCGGTTGAATGTGAAGTGGGGGGAGGGGTACCTGCAAGATACTCCGATGTCTAAGTAAGGATCAGAGTAAGTGCGAGTAGAATGTAAAAAAAAGGATGGATGAATGGATACATGACCCTCTCAAGTGAGAAGGTATTTATAGCCCACAACGATGGGCCAAGGTCTTTAGTAATGGGTCACGATGAGCCCCAATAACGAAGACTGTCAGGGTTTACAGGTGTATGGAGTCCAGCATGTGAGGTAGGATGATGATGTTATGGACACATGAATCATATTCTCCTAGTGGACACGTGGGGAAATGCCCAACGGTCTCCAAATTGGGTTGCACGCTTTTGGTTCTTTGTAAAGGCGCTTGATTGTGTCTCCCCAACAGTGGGACAAGTGTCATCCCAGTTCAGAACAGGATCCCCCCAAGTTATTGCTCTCCAAGTGTCGGGGAAGTGTTGCCCGAGAGAGAAAACTGTCAACTCCCGTCGGGGGCGGCTATGTGATTCGTGTGTGGTGTGGTCGACCAGCCGTGAGAGAATTTCATTGGTCTACTTCATCTTCCGCTCATATCAATGCGGTGCCATTTAGGGAGCTATATTCTCAAGGAGGCGAGGAGTTTCCTTGGGTGTGTGTTGTTGATGTGCTCATATGTAAGGCGTTGTAATAATATCGAATGTTTACCCACCATCGAGAGTAGAATGGCATCGATGTTTTCGTATGTAAGACATTGTAATGATGTCGAGCGTTTTCCCTCCATCAAGAGTGGAATAGCGTAGGCTCGTGGTTTTACGTGAGACTTCTGTGGCGACATGTCCTATTGTGAGCTCCACGTGGCAGCTATTTGGGGTGTCATCATTACATAGGGAAGTCAAAGAGCCCAAGTAATAATGACTTCTCGCATGTTACCTCGTGAGGTGGGAGCTATTTATAAAAGGGGAATCAGGAGGTTCACTTGTCATTTTCAAGCTCTCTCTTCTCCTCTCTCCTACGTTCGTCTGTGGATCTACTGCTCCAACGCCATCGTAGACGTCTTCAACAATAATCTTCTCCAAGTAAGTGATTTCATCTTGATCGTGTTTTTTCTTAGGCTTTTTAGATTAAACACTTGGGTTTTGCCATGAACGAATGAACCTCTTGATGAATAATCATGGGTTTTGAAATGAATCTCCATGGATGTTCATCTAAGTTCATGATGTGGATGAAGATTCATAGGTCCAGAATTTCATTCTGACTTGCATCTGGGTCGTCGCCCCAAATAGTGGGGAGAATTTGGGCAACTTGTCCATTCAATGAAATGTCCCCGCGTAGGGTGTCGGCCACTTTGGTGTTGGTTGTCAAGGGCTTAGGTCGAGGTCTATACCTCAACGCATCCATCGCCCATTCACTTGATTTGCAGTAGAATGGTGAACTTGATGATGTCGGATTCACTGTTTTCCACTGCTTTTCAGGTACGATGCCACAACAAGTTGAGAAAGACATCATGCCCGATACAAACGAGGGTGACATTATGGTCTCGGAAGATCCATTGACTTGGGTCGCGCCCGAGTCCTAGAGTAAAAGGTCGTGTTTTTCACAGGACGCTTCTGATGCGTTCAATGTCCCCGAGGACCAAGCAGAGGGTACCCCCACCCACTGGGTGCTCCAAATCCCTCATCGAAGTCAGAGGATATGCTCGGAATTCCTGGGAAAACGCTTCCATACGTACGAGTTTGTTTTAAAGAAGCGAGGATACGTTTTATTTTCAACGATTTCCAAGTGGAGATCTTCCAATGGTTACAACTAGCACCCTCCTAGCTTCATCTGAAAGCGCTTGTGTTTATGCGGGTGTTCGAGCTAGTATGCAAACATCTCAATATTGGTGACACTTTGACCTTTTTTTCGTATCTTTCACCTACAACGGTAGACCATTGGACGGCAACAAGCTTGTGTGTCGTTCAAACAATTCGTAAAACTCTTCTGGTCATACCTTAAATCTGCGCGCAACTTCAAAGAGAGGTATTTCATCGTGAAGCCTCTTATTGATGCGGTCGTGGATTCTTTGTACAACCGCTCAGAAGAGGCCGAGGATGGTCAGACAGTGGCTCGAATGACGATGAAGTTTCCTCTTGAGTGGCAATGGAAACATTTTGAGCAGAAACCCGAGTATTATGTGGCGAAGCCTGAGGACTTAGATGCCCAGGATAAGCTCTCTTATGATAAACTAGAAGTTTATGTCAAGAGCTTCTCCCTGGAAAAGTGTGAGGACGTAGACAATAACTTCCTCTTTGAAGATAAAGGGGAGCATCTCTTTGTTCACCGGATGATTAATACGAAAGCGCTCTTTGAGTGCTCCTCTGACGAGGAGGCTTTGACACTTCTCGTTAGGGGACGTGCTCGTAGTTTTATGTTTTTATTTTTGTCTCGTGGACTAACAGTTTCTTTTGATTGCAGGCCAGATGGAGACTCTCTCCGAACATTTACTCAAGTTGAGGTCTAAGAATCTCTCACAGTTGGCGCCCAAAAATCGGGTTTCCCAACTTCAGAAATAGGCCAAAACTTCTGCCCGTCCAAGCGGTTCATCTTCCCCTCCAAGGGCCTAGGCTCCCCCTCCCGAACAAGAGGCAAAAAGGAAGCGCGTGGAAGACCCTGAGCACGTGGCGGCTATCGACGGGGATAAGGGTGTCGGGGTCGTTTTAGTGTTCCCCCCTGCTATCTCAATCGAGGTATCTTTAATGGGGAGAGTTCATTACGTCTCCATGAAGAGGAGATTGGAGGCCATTCTGTCCGAGGACAAAGAAACCCGATTGAAGAATCTGTCAGAAGATGTGGCCATCGTGATGAGGGTTCTCTAAACTGCTTTGACACTGAATGATAAAGTTGTAGGCTCGCAAGCCGCCCTGGATAAATCTTATGCCAGCATCCAAAAGTTGAATGGGATTAATGAGAAGCTGAAGGCTGATATTCTCAATCATGAGACTAAGTATGAAGTGCAAGTCCAGCTCCTCAAGGATTTGAAGGAGATCAAGCATCAATTGAAGGCTACGACCAAGGAAAACAAGCGATTGGCTGCTCAGGTAAAGGAGCTGAAGGAAATTGTGACAGCTGCTGAGAAAGAGAGCAACACGGAGAAGGCCCTTGTGACCATGTGAGACATGATTGTTTGGACTCGTGTGCTCGAGCAGGATGTCGTGGACACCCTTAGTTATGGCTTCAACACTTCTATGGAGAAGCTCAAGATCATCAATAGAG